CACTTTAGGATAGAGACAACAAAATGAAAATACCTCACATGGCCTGCAAGGCCTCCACCATCCAATACGTACCCTCCCCCACCCTGCCCCCCGCCTTATCCAGCTGCATCTGCTTCCTGTCAGTCCCTGGCGCTCTACCGCTCTACCCGTTCCCACCACAGGGTCTTTGGAGACTGAGGGCTAGTCCCTGGGCCCCACGTGCCCCTAACTCCTAGGGTCAGTGTCACTTCCTCAGGGAAACTTCCCTGACCTTCTTGAATAGGTGGAGACTCCCGTCTCTACCACAGGCTCTCATGGAACCACAGACGGCTCTCCTGTGCCACTGTCCTAACTGCAGCTGTTCGTGTATTGTTTCTGTCTCACCCTCCACGAGGGCCGGGACTGGTCATGTTCCCATGAACTGCTTCCCTACCCCCCAGTCGGCTGGCACTGGTGAGTCTAGGAAGCATTCCTAGGCAGGTGACCTTGCATGTGGTCTTCCCCAGCAAGCTGCTCTTGATCCTACTGTCGCACTCACTATACTCCTCTAAGTTTGTCATTCATTCAACCAGCAGTTTTTCTGGCTTAATTTTAAGCTCATACAATGTGTCAGGCATTATGCTAACACGAGCTCTTTTGCTAAAACATTTCTTTTTTTTTTTTGAGAACTTGTGTATCTGAAATTCCTTATTCTCACACTTGATGGCAAACTACACAGGATATAGAAATCTAGGTTAGAAATCATTTTCCCTCAACATTTCTAAAGCATCGCTCCATTGCCTTACTGCTTTGTATGTTGCTTTTTCCCTAAAGATTTATTTATTTATTTATTTTTAGAGAGGGAAGGGAGGGAGGAAGAGAGAGAGAGAAAAACATCAATGTGCGGTTGCTGGGGGCCGTGGCCTGCAACCCAGGCATGTGCCCTGGCTGGGAATTGAACCTGCGATTCTTTGGTTCGCAGCCCACGCTCAATCCACTGAGCTACGCCAGCCAGGAAAACATTTCTTCATACCTCTGGATTACAGACCCATCAGAGAACCTGATGGGAGCCAGACTCTTAAAAAAAAAGAAAGAAAGAAAAAGAAGAAGAAGAGAGAGACCAACACTCATTTTGCGAAAGATTTTAGCAGGATTCAGACCCGGCAGCCCAACTATGATCAACCTGCATGAAATCGTGAGGGCTGGGAGGGCTGGGTGTGACTGCTCTTCTGCTTCATCCCTGTGCCCCGCAAAGAGCTTGGTCCACAGAGGAGTAAAATTAGTGTTTGTCAACTGAAACTGAGCAAACCAAGTTCGAGAGACAACTTACTGAACTGGCTAAAACTGTGGGTTGCCTGGGCTTCATTCCCCCTCATGCTTTGTTGTGACTTTTTTTTTTGATGGCCCAGAGATGTGACCTTTTTATTTTTTCAAAATTTATTTTAATTGTTGTTGAAGTACAATTTTCTATCTTTTACTTCCATCCCAGCCCACCCACCTAGCCCTCCCCTCCTCCCTCCCATTTCCACCCACCCCTAGTTTTTGTCCATGTGTCCTTTATATTTGTTCCTGCAAACTCTTCCCATTTCCCCCCTGAAATTCCCTCCCACTTGGTTGTGACTTGAGGAAGTGATTCCACCTCTCAGTGCCGTGGTTTGAGCATCGGGAAAAATGGGGACACCATATCCCAGGTGGCTGTGAAGAGGAAATGAGTTAATACCATAAATCACAGAGTATTCGGATATATGACAATCAATTTTGAAGCTGAGAAAGCCGATAAAGTCACAGGTAAAGTAACCTGTCCAAGCTTGCTCACCTAAGAAAGGCCATTCAGACCCAAGAGCCTGGCTCCAGAGTCCAGCCCTTAGTTAGCCCTGTGCCCTACACATAATAATGCTCTTTGCAAATGTTTGTCAAGACGCAGGGTGATACTTCGTATTAGACACTTTTGAGGAGTGAACTCCACTTCTGTAATGTGCAAAGTCTTCATAATTAATATGGGCCCCTCTATAACACCGGTAATTTCGATTATAATATGCGCGAACCGCTGAGTTTCACATTAACTCCGATGGACATAAGCAGGAAAAAATGAAGTCCCAAGAACAAAATCCTGGGTAGCAATCGAAAGTCACACACCCCTCGGGTGCGGCCTGTGCGTTTCCGCAGAAACTTCCGACCAGCAGCGCCGGGCGTCCCCACAGGCCAGGCAGGCGAAGCTGGGCAGTGGGCCCGGGTCCGCTTCTTCGGTGGGCGGCCCTGGACCCCTGACCCTGCCGCAGCTGTGCGAGGGGCAATCGCCCACAGGGGCGGAGAAAGGGCAAGACTCACCTGTCGGCGTCCGTTCCCTGCAAGGAGCCGTGAGTCCCGGCCCCGGCTTTCCTCCCTCACCCGCAGAAGCTGCCCATGGCCCGCTGTCTGTCCCAGGACCCGGTCCAGGACCCAGGGCCTCCGGCAGCTCCCGAACTCGCCCCGCTGTGCCAACCGGGGCACCTGCCCCTTTATCGGCAGCCAATCAGAGCACCAGAGGTCTCTGAGCACACTGACGCTCGCCCCCTAACGCAGCCAATCAGAATGTGGGACACTTCACGTGACCCTCGCGACGTCCCTGAGCGCAGCAAGGCCAGTGGTGAGTAGATTGGCTTTCCGGGGAACTTAGCCTGTCCACGGCCATTCATTGCCTCTCGCATTTTCACACCCTCTCCTACCCAGCATTTGACAAAAGTTGGAGCTTCGGTTGCTTTGTCCCTTGGGGAATGTCACAGAGGTACAATTAACTCAAAAATCACTGTATCTTTAAACTAGAGCCATTCTGAATTCCCAAAATAAATGTTTTACAAAAGAAAGGTAGTTTTAAAAGCCCCGAATTTCTTTGGAACGTGTGGAGCCTTCCCACTTTACTACCCACCGTCCCAGTCCTCCACTCGGCAGTCAGAGAACGTGGCAGATAACGTCTTTAAAAACCTCCCTCCTGCCACCGAAGTATTCGCGCTGTTAACTGTCAGATGGTTTACATTCCAATTACTACTTGTGATGCCGATTTCATTAATTTCTCCTTCAAGACAAGCTTAATGTCAGTCCCATTTACTCTCACGTTTATCTATCAATCAACGGACGTTTATGGCAATGCCTATTAAGTGCCAAGCATGTCAAGCAGTAATGAGAAGGCGGCTGTGGGCAAGGCAAAGGGGAATAAAGCACACTTCTTGTTCGGGGAGTTTACATTTTAGTGGGGGACAAAGACATTAACAACCAATAACATAATTAATGACAACCAGAGTTAAATGTTTCCAAGGACAGGATGCGCTTCCCCTGCCTAGTTGTCCTACGCTCGCGTGTACAGCCGGAGTCAGGAAAGATGTGTGATTTCCCCAGGCTGCAGGTGCGCCGCGTGGTGTTCCCACAGTACACGGTGCACAGTTCCAACAGCCTTAACATACGGCACTGAAATTCTTCCACACTGCCCTCTCTTTCGTCTCATGGAGCAAACTCCCTGTGGATACCGATGATTTTATTTTCCTACGAACAATGTTTGGTTAGGGACTCAGGAAATACTACGCTAACTAAATCTTTGAGTCTAGACTTAGTATCCAATTTGTGCTCAATAGGCTTTGCTGAGAGGGACTGCCACTTGACTTTAATTCCAGAGTGGCAGCAAGAGTCCTGGCTCCTTGTCTCAAGATCGATTCCCTTTAAATTACCTTCATACAAAAACCTTATTATTCATGGTTTATCGAACAGTTTTTCCTGAAATAAAGTGACTTGGGGTCCAGACTAACCACAGTGTTTCACATGCATTTAGGAAAAGGCGTTAGGGAAGGATAGAGAAGAGAAAGTTAAGGGATGTAAATTCAGGCCTTAGAACTATATGGTCAGGAGGGAGGGAGGAGAGATGTGCACCAGGGTGCTGGCAGCTTGTACCAGGGCTCCACATGACCATGTAAGGAATGATAATGCCCATAACCCTGTGAATTGAAATCAAAATTGAAAATGACCAACTCAGCTATGCCAGCTGTGTTAAACGTTACCCAAAGACCTTTCCATTCTAAATATTTAAATAGTGTATTTCTAGGACCATAAGATCAGAAGAAAAGAAAAGCCTGGATGGAGAAATGGGGGAAAGAACCTAGTACTATGCATATCGTCTGTAAGAAAATCACAGACATGCTTGAAACTGTGGGAAGATCCTGAAGTTTCTAGTATGTAAGAGATGCATTAAAAACAATACTGTTACAGCTTTTCATATCCAAAATTTACTACTTTATTATAAATGAGTGTGAAAAATATAAGGATTTTGCGAAGGTTCATTCAGAAGTTTGGCTCTCTCAACTCAATTTTTCCAGGTGGCCAGCACAGTTTTTGGTAGTAAGAGTTCAAGAAATATTTGCTGAGTGAATAAAAGGTCTTGAATCCCTCAACTATCAATGGGCAGGGGTTTTTGTTGTTGTTGTTGTTTTAGATTTTATTTACTTTTAGAGATCTGGGAAGGGAGGGAGAGAGGGAGAGAAATATCTATCAGCTGCCTCTCCCACGTCCCTCAACCAAGGAGCTGGCCGGCAACCGAGGCATGTTCCCTGACCAGGAACCGAATGGGTGACCTTTGGTTTGCAGGGCGATGTCCAACCCACTGAGCCACGGGGCTGGGCAGGGTTTTTAGAACACAACCCTTCTAGTGAGGGGGAGAGCACTGTGTTCACATGCAGTGCATCTGCTCAGTTGGAGCACACCGATTAATGCCTCTCTTTCCCCTTCAGTGATCTGTTAGTCACAATTTAGACCAAACTGAAAATGCTTTCCAAAACAACCTCCCCCACCCCATAGCAGTGCCTTTGCTGAAACAGTATTCTTTTACTGAGATACTTATTCATATTAAAATTGAATCTTTATTCCCCTGGATGGTGAGGGCAAACCCTAGGTCTATGAATTTTTCAATTCTGTACAGTGCATCCAGGTCCAAAGAGTATGAGGTGAAATATGGATATTATGAGAAACAAATTATTACTCCTTATTAACAGTGGTGAAAGAACATAAGGCACATTTTCTTCTTTTCTCAGTAACAGAATTTATTGATCAATATTAATTCATTATCCAGTATACTTTAAAATACATATCATCTAAAATTAATGGTTGTTTCTGGATTTTTGACTCAGATTTATCTTGAGTTACATTTATATATGACGGTCACACTGAACATCTAGCACTACTAAAGATGGGAAAACAAAAGGCTATTTGTTATAATGGCAAGAATGAGCCTACTAGAGACAGGAAAAGAACAGTAGTAGTAACAGTAATGGCAGCTAACCAGAGCTGTGACGTCCAGTGAGCTACGCAGCTAACATTGATCTAGTACGTCCTGCCAGATGCCAGGCACTGCCATGAGCGTTTCATATGCAGTATGAAGCGGACACCACTCTCACCCCCGCTGGTAGATGAGAACGGAGAAGGCACACAAGGTCATCACTTGCCCAAGATCTCAGCGCTCATGAGTGTGAGAGCCAGGTATTTGACTCCAGAGTCCATATTCTTAACCTATTACCCTATACTGACTCACTCATGGTTACAATCCCCGTTGCTTGAAACAAATCTTTTTGGTTTTACATACTTCTTGCAGATAACTTTATTTTTAAAAGTACAAAGTATTTGAAAGACACTATTTGTATTTGGAATAATCTTGAAAAATACTATTTTACTAAATACAGGGGTATGTAGGCAAAAAGAGGTTTACAGTTGTTCATATGGAAAATAATACAATATTTAATAAATAATGATACAAAACATAAACTGTGCTTCGTGTACTCACAACTCTAAGCCTACTCTTGCCCACCTGTCTATATGGTAGCTGTTCCTTCATTCAAAATGGTGACGTGGTTTATACCAGAATCCCTCTAACGTATAATCACATCTCACAAACTAATGTTCCACCCCTTTCCTCAAACAAACAGAAAGTAAAAAAAGAAAAAGAACCATCAAATACACAAGATTCTGTATATGCATATACTTTAATAACAAAGGTCATTTGGCTACAAATGAACAAGGAAGGAGACGAAGCAAACCTAGCACGTGACACTCCCACAAGTTTGGTCGAACGGACACACGCAGAGCCGTGCCACAGGTCCTGCCCGTGATGACAGAGGCCGTGACTGCCGGTTTTTATTGCACGCGTTTCCTAACACAGAGTGCGCAGTTAAAGCAAACAATGATGTCAAGAAGATTTTAACAAAGTCTTTTAAGAAAGTCTAAAAACCTCCTACTTTCCCACATGGGCTCTCAAAACTTTGATTTTTTTATATCAGAATATCAGTTTGCCACTTTAACTTTTACCATACATGAAAAATTATCAAAAATATACTGATGGGTCTATACTAATTGTGTTATTTATATTTACATTAAGCAAATTCTTTTTTTTACCAAGTTCTTTATATACAAATTACCATGTGTCCTATGTGAAGTTCATTAAAAAGTTAAAAACCACAGAAATGTCATTAGAAACAACTGCTTTCCATCAATGAAGAACATCTTAAAATAATTTAACTGAAAAAAGTATTGAAGTCTCCACCAATTTCAGCTGCAACAGTATTCCTCCTGAATGTTTTCTGTGATTTAAGGGGAAAAGAAATTGAGTCAACCTTAATTGCAATGAAATAAATTTAAAAATTTGATAAATGTTTACTGATCTTATCTTCAAGAAATTTACAGTCTAATAAGGCTGGCAATAAAAACACAGCAATAATTTTTTAAAAGTAAATAGTTTAAGGTAACTGAAGAAACAAAAGACTTGGAAAACTGTCAAATGCACTGTATAAATACTTTTCATATAAATTTAAATCACACAATAGTACCCATACCTAACTGAACTGAAGATAGGCATGGCTTTTTGATATTTTCAAAGGGCCAACATTTTAAAAAAATTAAACTATCTCCAAAGTGGAAAGAATTTAGATTTTAGAGGTGTCACAATAGATAAAAGCAATTTATAAAGACTTAGGAGGCAAAGATACTGGGGAAAGCTCATAAAGGGGCTGTATTACTACCACTAACATTAAAAAGTCACTCTCATTGTTTTAGACTCATGGTCATAGGAAATGCAAAAGATGTCTTTTTCTGAGAAAGAAAACTTGAACATAAATTCATAAGCTTTTTACATTTAAATAGCATTGATTAAAATGACCATAAAACTGAGTACAGCACTTAGTTCAATATAGATGCACTTCTCTTATTTAAGAACTGATTTTATAACAGTCGTTGAAAAATGGATGCCTCTCTGGTTGGAAAATGGAGGTTCACTCCATTTTGGAAATTGTCTTAATTTATGTTGATTACACACGCACTAATGCGAGAAGTAGGGCTGGGAGACGCTTACCTAATGAGTGCTCTGTCTCTGGACCTTCGGGCCGATGCTCTGTGTGTCTTCTTCCTGACTGGGACGTTTCCCGCTGCTGAGGCCAGTGCCCATGGAGCCTCTTCCTCCTGCACGTTTCAAAAGTGTATGTTTAAACCAGGAAAGGTGAAAAGACCAGTACGCTCAAGTGCTTTATTCTTACCTTGCTTTAGTAGGTGAGTTTGCTGACTGTCTCCATGAGCATAATGTAAAATGCCACTCCCTTGAGCGCAACCTGTTAGTGTTTAAAACACAGTAAAATTACTTAAAATAAATTCCAAGTTGTATGTATTAAGACTACAAATCCAATTTTAGTATTTGCATACAAGACCATATGTGTTTTTTAAGACTAAACCTCAATCCTTCATATGATCCAAAAATCACATGCCCAATCGGGAAAATTTAAATTTAGGGTGGTAGAAATACTGACGGTTCAAAGGCAAAATTACCGGTAGTTATTTTCTAAAAAACACCTCCTTACTGGATGACAACAGCCACTTGACCATAAAGGCAAATAGGGCAGCAGAGAGATATTCACCCTTCCTTCACCTCCTGTCCTGCTCTACCCCACACTCCTCCCTCAGTGCCTGTCTGAAACAGGTGTCTGGAGGTATTTATTTATAAGGGCCTGCCAGATGAGAATTAAACGATTCAAATCAGCCCTGGCCCAGTAGCTCAGCTGGTTAGAGCATCATCTGGATACACCAAGGTTGTGGGTTTGATCTCCAGTCTTAGCACATATAAGAAGCAACCAATGAATGCATAAGTAAGTGGAACCACATATTGATGTGTGTGTGTGTGTGTCTCCCATCGATAAAAAATTCAAGTCACACAACAAGGAGGAGACACTGACAATGCAGCAGTTGCCTGCCCTGAGCAATGATATCAGCCCTTCTAAAAAGCATCCACGTTACCGGAGCATGACCGTAAAACTGAGAGCAGCACAGTGTGTCCGGATTATGGAAAAACATGAGCACTCCAGCCCCTAGGGAGGTCACCTGACAATCTACTTATTTTTATTAGAATTTCATGCTCATAAAAACATGAGTATTCCAGCCTCTAGAGAAGTCACCTCATGGCCTGAATAAGACAATCTACTTACTTTTACTAGAATTTCTTCTGGATAAAATAATTCAGCTTTTCAGGTATTCAAAGCTGGAAAAGTGGATGCCCTGATCAGAGATGCGGCCTTCTATCACTGGAAAGGGGTATCTCCACCATAAATTAAAAACCTAGTATTCCCTGTTGGTATTTTAATAAACAGATTTTAAAATTTCTGGTCTGTTATTCACAAAATGGTGACCTCTGCAGTGAAAACATTCACTTTTTGAACTTGTAAGGTTGAAAGTCAGACTGTGGACAATGGCAAGTTCACCACGGAGTGGTGCTACTCCTGGTCGTATCATCAGCAGGGATTCCCCTAGCAGTGGTACTTGTTGCCATGCGCTGTTGTTCAACACTATTTAAAACTCCACATGACAATGTGAAAAGTACTTAATTCCACTAAAATGTACATTTAAAATGGTTAAAATGGTAAGTTCTATGTAATGTATATTTATAATTAAAAAATACCTCAACCAATACATTTTCAATGATCACATTCATACTGTACACATTGGTGAGGGCCCATTCATGCTACAGACTATAGCAGGTCATGGGGATACATATCTTATGAAGACATCTGTCTGTCCTCAAGGGGTTCACAATCAAGTAGGAGGAGGCAGACACATAAAATCACTAAGTACAAAGAGGTGTAATTTTAGGTGTTGGGATGGAAGCTGGTACAGGATACAGTGCAGATACTGAGGAAGAAAAGGTCAGTTTTATTGAATGATTCACAGAGGTCGCCATTAGGCCAAGTCATAAACTGGTTTCATTTTCTCAACTTCATCAATTTTATTCCTCTTACAGTTTTAAGATAAATGAGAATAATCTCATAAACAAAATGAATGAAAGCAGCCGTGCACAAAAAATACTGATTCTATAATAGGCTATGATTCTATAAAATTCAAAAATGGGCAAAACTAGCATCAGAGGAAAGTGATTACCTTTTGGGAGGAGAGTAAAAATAAATATGCTCAATAAATAATGAGAAATGTCCTTAACACGGGATTCTACTTCCTCAGAGAGCTAAATGATAAGCAGACACTTAGTATCTTCCTGAGTCCCCAAATTCAAAAATACATCTACAGCCTATAACTCCCCCATAAAAATATAGGAAATTATATTTGCGCGAGAATACCTGTAAGAGACAATGACTAGAGAACAGAACTTTGCTGATCAATTGGCCAGGAACAGCTTAGTCACTTACAAATACCACAAATCCCTGCATTCGTATGTCATCAGTGACATTACAGCAGTTAAATTTCAAATGCCAAGACTACAGAAGATGAGAATCTTAGAGTGAAAACAAAATTTTTTAAAAAGTATTTCTTGTTTACAAAAAAAGTTTCTTAAAGGAACAAAGTTTATATAATCACTTTCCCTTTACGTTACACTATCAATAGCACCAAAAGGATCCCACAAAAGGATTTTCCACTAAAAAAATTCTAACTTAAACATACTATAGGGGAGAAATTACATTAAAAAGATATTAAAAAGAAATAACCAAAATTTTAATACTGACTGTCTCTATTGGATGGAATTGTGGAGTGATTTCTGTTCCCATTTTTCTGAATTTTCTAAATTCTCTACAGTAAATTGTGGATTTTAAGCAGTTCTGAGGTATAAGCGACATTACCATGACACTCACCTGTTTTAAGTATACAATTCAGTGATTTTTACTAAATTTACAGAGTTGTGCACCTATCACCACAATCCAAATTTAGAATATTTTTCATCACCATGAATAGATCGCTCATGCCAACTTGCATTCACTCCCCATTCTAACCCCTAAGTCTAAAGTAACCACTAATCCACTTGGCTGCTTTTAAAGACATGCCTTTTCTGGATAGTTCATATAAATGCAATCACGCAATATGTGGTCTTGTGTGTCTGGCTTCTTTTTTTTAACTTAATATTTTAGAGGTTTATCCTTAAGGTTTCTGTTGCAGCACGTATCAGTATTTTGTTCCTTTTTAAGAATTAATCTTCCTTTGATATGGATGTGCCATATTTTGACTATTATAAATAAGGCTATAATAAACTTTCACATGGAAGTCTTCGTGTAGACATGTATTTTCATTTCTTTTGGATACTTAGGACTGGAATTTCGGGGTTGTATTTTAAATTTGTTTAGCTTTTAATAAACTGCCAAGACTGTTTTTCAAAGTGGCCGTGCCATTTTACACACCGCCTCTTAGCAGTGTATAAGGGTCCTAGCCTCTTCACACCCTCTACAACACTTGTTACTGTTTTTTTCATTCTAGACACTTGAATGGGTACAGGATGACCAACCTTCCCCAGTGTTCCCAGGATTCAAGTGTTAGCACTGAAAGTCCCATGCGCAAGAAACCCCTCAATTCCAGGTAATCAGTGATAGCTGATCACCCTAAGTGGGTGCGAAGTACTATCTCCTAGTAGTTTTAGTCTGATCTTCCCCTATGACTAGTAATGCCAAACAGATATTTTATAATAAAAAATTAAACTATAAATTAAATAAATTGTTTTATTATAAGAACAAAAAGGCTTCAAAACATGTATTTATGTATAGCTTATTCATTTCATGAGCAAAAAAATAAATCTATAAAGAGGAAAGAAATGCAATGTGTGTTGCAGAGATTAAGAATTTTCCAGAATCATTTAAAAACCTAAGAAAAGTCATAAAGAATCTTGCCCTTTCCTGTGCCTTATGAGACACTGTAAAATAGACGCCTACGAACAGGATAAGTATAGGGCATGAAGGGATAAGCTTCAGAAGTACCTAAATCCTTTCAAATGGGGCGGAATCCTGAGGGGAGAAATCTGTAACAGCACAGTCCAAATCCTGAGGGTCTTCCCACAATCGTCCCCCCCTCCAGGTCTACAATGTCCTCTCTCCCCTCCATCTGCCCACCCACCCTCTGCCTTCATTTCTCAACAACCTCTCCCTTTTTGTGGAGACAGCATCTTACACTTTATCACTTTTTTCGTTTGTTTTTCTTTCCCTTCCACACCCTCAATTAGACTGTAAGCTCACTGTAGCTGTTTTGTCTTCTATGTCTTTTGAAAGCCTCACAGCACCTAGCCTACAAAGTGTTTTACAGGCAAATACTTACATGATGATTTTTAAGATTTATTAATCTTGTTATATCATAAAATAGCACATTTTTATAGATTTGGGAAGCAAAATTATTCCAGTTTAACTTACTACCATGATTGGTTTTTGCAGGTAACTGCAAATAATAAATACAGATTTGAGTGGACTAGGAAACAGTATGGTTCCCACCCTGCTGCTACCTGTCTGTTGTCTTAGTGCTTAACAGAACTTCTGTCCCCCAGCCTCGCATGTGGGCAGAAAAGGCAGGCTATGAACTGAAAAACAGATCTGGAAGAACTTTTTGAAATGATACCTTATTGCTACCTTATCAGTTTACTTCAAATTGTTCAAAGTTCTGAGAAAGAGCATTTATTTCTAAAGCATACTGCCACCACTGGCAACTATTTGACTGCCAGGTAAAACACATTCCAGTAATAGAGCACTTTATCTTATAAACACTATACATGGCATTATATATGCAGAAGAGGCCCAGTGATACAGGAAAGAATAAGAACTTTAGGATCCCTGGCTGGTGTAGCTCAGTGGATTGAGTGCAGGCCTGCAAACCAAATGGTCGCTGGTTCGATTCCCAGTCAGGGCACATGCCTGGGTTGCAGGCCAGGTCCCCAGTAGGGGGCGTGCAAGAGGCAACCATACATTGATGTTTCTCTCCCTCTCTTTCTCCTTGCCTTCCTCTCTCTAAAAATAAGTAAATAAAATCTTTAAAACAATTAAAAACTAAAAATATTGACCAATAACAATAAAAAAAGAAAGAACTTTAGGACTAATCCAACTTGGATCTGAATCTTAGCTCAACTACTTACTAATTTTGGAATCTTGGTTAAATTACCAAACCTTTCTAGGCTCATTTCCCCAATTATAAAATGAGAATGCCATCATCACCTCCCCAGGTTACTGTGAGAATGTGGCAAAAGTCTCCTCGCACCAGAAACAAAGTAGGTAGTCAAAACGTTGAGCGTCTTTGTTCCTTTCTCCCTAAGCTAATTTTTGGAGGATAAAGCACCTGCTCTCCGTCAAAAGGATGCAGGCTATGTCTGAATTTAGGAAGTTTCAGTTTTTTAAAAAAGGTTTACTTTTAATAACAATTTTGAACATCTGACTTCTTTTTTAAAAAAATGAGCATTCCTCACATGCTGCCTTGTTTTTAATCAAATTAATTGTGAGGCTTAATAAATAAATATTTGATTATTAATCTCTTGATGTTAAGTGCAGAATTTCTCTTTTCACTTACTTCCACTGCTGCTACAACCTGGGATATTTTCTCCAGGAGAATACCCCATGAGGCCTCCATTCCCATTAGGATTAGAAGGCACTGATGCAAGAAGACCTGAAGGAAAAAAAATTCTTATTAAATTATGACCAAGATCAAATCAAGGGCAGGAACATAAACAGCTGCCAAAGAAACAAATCAAAGGCAGTTACTGACATACCTAGTCCTCTGTATCGTGAAAGCTGTTGGTAGATCTGTTTCATCCTCTCAATATTCAAACGGCTTGCCTCAGCATGGTTTACCATTGGTTTAGGGTAATTAACTCCTATCAAACATTTGGCTACCTTTTGGATACCTTCTGGTGCATTCCAAGGATCATAGATGTATTTTGCAGGGAAGCCTCTTAGGATAGGCAAATACCGCCTTTTGGGAGAAGGGAGAAAATTATTAATAAAATGAACTACAAACAAATTGTAATAAACTATTTATTTATTAGCAATAAAAGACCAAAATCAAGTCAACAGCATTTAAATGACTTGTTTACCGTTCTCATCTCTGCTGACCATCATGAGTGGCGTATACTTTAAATGTTGCTTAAATATGAAAAGCTCTTCCTGGGTTAGTTATTCCAAACTGAAAAATAATCACCCTCGATTTACCTTATGTAGTCTCCATTGGGATCTGTTCTCCTACCAAAACCAACAGGGCAATAGCAGTGAAAAAACTGTTGAAAAAAGGAACTACAAGACAGCCACATCCAACTTCCAGCATTTATGCTCCAATCTGCATCAAGCAATAATTCTTCAAATACCTTCAGAAATAACAGTAACGAGTTAGTTTACACACACAAGATTCTCAAAGCAAGCATTTTCCAGGTCTCTGCAGACTGAAAGTTAAGACAAAGAAAACCTAGCACAGAACTGCAAAATTAAACATTCCAAAGTTAGCTTCCTTGTCTAGGTTTTGTTCTATAATAAGTTATTTCAGGTAAAAAAAAATCAGTTATGTAAGTGGATTTCTGAATAGAATTTACCTTTCTAACCTTTGCAGTGTTATGTGGGAGGAGGGTAAAAAAATTATTCAAGTCAATGATTTAAAAGGAACATGAGGAGATAAAAAAATGGAAGAAAAATAAAAGAGTAAACACTTTCAAGAAAGCAAAAGAGCTTCCAAACAAGTCACCAACAGAATCTCAGAAGTTTGGTGCACTGGCCACATAAAGGGAGCATCCAAATATAAATGACCTTTGAAAATGCACTGGCTTTATAGAGTTTAAGTCTGGGATTTCTTAATCTGAAAGGAAAACAGAATTAAAATATTTACTGATTTCTAAGATAAATTCATGAAGTGTGTGCTACACATCTACCTCATGTCCAGCGCTATACATGATATAGAGATCATGTGTAACAGGTGCAAAAAAAGCACAGGATCAGGAACGGTCCTTGGAGAGGGGAAATTTGTGATATAGGTAAGAAGGCAAAACATGTGCATAAGCACAAGACGGGGCCACAAGATGCAGTATGCTTCGCTTTACACAACAGAAGTATTACTAAAAAGCTGTGTTGTTGAAGTGAGGTAAAATGGGATATATGTTAAAATTTATACCATAAATTCATTATTTCTAAAAACTCTTGGGTGAATCCTTTCTGTGACAGAAAAGATCACCTAAATGTATGTTGATGTAATTAAGCCCACGGTGTTCAATCTTACGCTTCCCTTGATGGCTAGGCTGGTTTAGTTGTACGAATGACTTGAGATTAACTGAATCAGTTTCTGCCGTATCTCCTGTCTGATTACACCCTTCTGTCTCCAGGAGTGTGATGGTATTCTGGGAATTAAATGCTTTGTCCACTGAAAAACTAGATTATAAATGAATCTACATAATAGACAACTTCCAAAAAATGTTTTACTGAGGTATCAAGTCCTTTAAAATAAGACCATGCTAATTATTTAGAACACTTGCCTTCATTCCTTCTTCCCAACTAATCCACAGGTCACCTCGTGTCAGGAAGCAAGCAACCGCATGTCTGGCCAGGTGGTGAATCCAGCCCTCCTGACGAAGCTGTGTCATGATGGCATCAATCCAAGGAAAACCTGTCCGGCCTTCTGCCCATTTTGCTAAAGCCTCAGGATTCTTATCCCAAGGAATCTGAACACAGATGGGGTTTCCTTCCATTTTATCAAAGCGTGGATTATTTGTTGCTGCTGTATAGAAAAATTCACGCCATAGTAGTTGCCCATAAAGGGAAAGGGGAGGGGAACTGTTCTTTTTTACCTAAGATTAAAAAGCAAAGAAGTAGTATAAGCAATTTTTAAAAAAATATTTTGAAAAACAAAATCCAGTTTCAGTTAATACCTTCTTGTAGAGATCTGTTAGTTTGAAGTAAAACAGCCGACAGGACAAACAACCAAATCGGAGGTAAGGACTGAGTCCGGTAGGGCTGGCAAGCAGGGAATTCGCATTCATCCGAGGTCTTTCGAAGTTTGCCACCCAGGCCTGAAAACATACAGACAGAGTTATGCTAACTTTTCCACTTTTAAATTAGATTTAAATTTTTAAAAACTATTATATAGTTCTTGGGTAATAAAATCATATTACTCCAGACACAAATGATATGTTTTAATAAAAAATAAGAAAGGATAAAAGTGAGCATTTTCTTTGTGTTTCAGCCATCCTCATGTAGCACATATTCATGTGAAAAATTACCCTCAAACTCCTAACACAAAGCTGACAGCACCATCCCCGTCTCTTTGCCACTGACATAAAGGTGAAACAGAAGAACTCTATCCTGGCTTCAAAGTTATGGCCATCAGATACCAACTTACAGAAAAAGAACAGAAGAGGTAGTGTTGGCAATAGCTAAAAAGGAAATAATCAGAAGAGGAGGAAAATACTATTCAAATGAAGAGACAGCTGTTAATTTTCAAATAATTAGGTTTGTGTTATTTTAAGTTTCTCTAAATTCTTCTTTTCAACAGCCTATTTTTTGTTTTTAAAAAAGAGTGAAATTATTTTTAAAATGCCAACTTGGAAATATAAGCATGATCTATATTATCATACTTTTCTTTCCAAATGCCTTTCCAAACGTGTAAGTGCTTCCGTTTCTCCGCCTGGCCATACTGCAGAGGGTAAACCATCCGTATCAAAACCTAAAATAAAAAATACATAAATACATTTAAAAAATATCATTCTTCTCGAGTATAAATAATTTTTATTTAGCCACAATAATTACAAGAAAAATTACTTTGCAAAAAATTATGATGGTAGCATCAAAATGAATCGATGACCCTGGATTCTCACATATGAAAGACATAACATGTTCTCTATTCTTTAAAATGTATACTTTAAGGTGACAACAGAAAGATCACATATTTTACAACACATAAATAAAGCACAGATTTACCACTTCTTAGTTTTTCTTCTACTTTCTTCTCCTAGCTTCCTTACTCGGTTAGTGCAAAATACATGTCAATTCAGAAGTGAGATTTCCTGAGTGATTTATTAGCTCTTAAGTTTCACCTTTTTACCATTTACACCCACCTAGTTCTTCCAGTGAAGGGACTCCATATTTTTCATCATGGTCATCAGACAGAGGAGTCGTGCACTTTTCTATCACTTCTGAAGTAATCGTCTCTACTGGTATCTCTAGTGGTTCCATTTTGCTGATGAGAGTCTGGAATCTTTTATAAGTAAGAGGTGGTTGTCCACCATTGAGTTCTATGATCCTATTACAAAAGTTAGTAAAATCAAGTTAGTATAAAAAATATATATTTTGGTTGATAAGCTCTGAAAAGGCTTAAAAATTGTAAAGTAAATAAAATTACTTAAGACTTCTAGTAGAATGACCAGGAAACTTGTTAAAAAATGGCTAATGAATCTAAAAATCATTTTCTAGACATCTGTTAGGTGTCAAAAACTATACAAAACATTTAAGATAAAGGGCATTAAGCACCTCCGAGTGAAAAAAACAAGTGGCTAAATTAGTCTGAAGGCAGTAACACAAAAATATGGAAATGTAAAAATATAACTCAGCTCCAAGAGTCTCTGCAATTCTCCAAGGAAGACATACAGAGGGCCCAGAGATACATGAAAGGATGCTAGCATCCTTTCAGCATCACTAGCCATCAGAGAGATGCAAATTAAAGCCACAGTGACATACTACTCCACACTGGTCAGAATGGCCATCATAAAAAAATCAACAAACAAGTGCTGGCGAGGATATGGAGAAAAGGGAACCCTAGTGCACTGTTGGTGGGAATGCAGACTGGTGCAGCCACTGTGGGAAACAGTATAGAATTTCCTCAAAAAACTAAAAATGGAATTGCCTTTTGGCCTGGCAATTCCACTGTGGATTATACCCTAAGAATCCTGAAACACCAATTCAAAAGAACCGATGCACCTCTATGTTCACAGCAACACAATTTACAAGAGCCAAGTGCTGGAAACAGCCTGAGTGGCCCATCAGTCAATGAGTGGATCAAAAATTATGGTACATTTACACAATGGAATTCCATGCAGCAGAAAGAAAGAAGGAACTCCTACCCTTTGTGACAGACAGCATGGATGGAACTGGAGAGCATTATGCTAAGCAAAATAAGCCAGGCGGTGAAAGACAAATACCACCTTTAAGTGGAACCTAATCAACAAAACAAACAAGCATGCAAAACAGAACCAGAGACACAGAAATAAAGAACAAACTAACAGTGACCAAAGGGGAGGGGCAAGGGATGGGAGATAGTGGGGGGACGAAGGGGAAGGGTCAAGTCAAGGAACATGTATAAAGGACCCAAGGACAAAGACAATGGGGTGGGGGGATTGAATGTGGGAGGTGGAGGGTGAGTAGGGCAGGGGACAGTAATGAGGGAAAAATGGCTGTAACTGTAACTGAATAACAGTTTTAAAAAAACCCTAAGAAATGCCAAAAAAAAAGAGAAACAAGTCTTATTAATTAGGATTCTATATTACTGTAGTGATAACCACTTGATGTTTTCTACTGTGCTTACGCTTTTGTTAAAAATGTTGACATACGTATTTTATATACATATCTTATGTACATATCTTATATATCTTATGTACATACTTATGTTTACTTCTGATCACTAATTGCTTCAATCAAGTTGTACTAAAGGAAAGATTAGCATTTGCCAATGGTAGTCTGAATTAAGACACTTTGGGTATAACAAATTATTGTTTTTCATTATGGCCATTTGCTTAGTATTTAGCCTTAAAAAAGAATTACTGGTAAAATCCAACTCCATCATTTTATAGTCAGGAACTAAAGCCTACCAAGACAGCTAAACAAATGAGTCAACGTCACATAGCGAATAAATGGCAAGTAAGGTTTTTCTTAATCCAAATACTGTACATTTTCATTATGCCACATATATTATGTATTAATTACACATATAAGAAATCATCACCATAAAGACTAGACTCTCTGATTTTAGTAATTTTGCTTTGGTGTAATACTTTGAGTTTATACATAGGGTCACAATGAAATTTGTCAACTATAATAATACTGCAATGACACTACTGCTAACTATATAACAAACAAAATAAAAGCCTTAGAAAAGTATTTTCTATATGTTACATTGTTTTACAATGGATTATATATGGTTAATATTCATATCCAATGCAATAAATAATACAATTTTTTGCGTAACACTGTCTTCTATGTAGAAGCAACTGCTCTTATCCTGTTTTGCCTCCTTCTTGCTATCAACTCAAAGTTAAGAAAACTGGTAAACTAAACTAGAACGCAAGTTTACTACAGGATATATGATTTCTGGTTTAATATCAAATAAGACCCTTGCTGAATCAAACCACCATTTTGTCATGTTACTTACAATTGGCTTTATTAACTTGATAAAATGTATAAGAAACTTAAAAAGTAAAATAACTTAAAAGGAACATAAATTATGAGAATTCAGCACTTATAAGTACAACAGTAGACTAAAGGTTCATAAGTTAACAAATCTTTTGAACCTTCAAAATTCACAGCATAGGATACTTCCTAAATTTAAACTTGACCATGGACTTTTTCTTGGACAAAGCATTATTAAGGATTGGTATTTCAAGAAATACACTTTGAAAAATGTAATACTATGCCATTGTTCAGAGGACTACACCTATGCAAAGTAATATTTCATACAATTTGCATCTGGATTTAAAATCTAGATCGACAAGATATACACACATGACGTAAAGTAAGCTAAGAAAATCATACAAAATAAAGCAAGGCAGTTTATGCCTATGTATCATATAAACTATAAAATTAATATTGCTAAGAGCCCAGAAAGGGTAAACGAGTTGGAACAGTCAAGAAGAGTTTTTATATTCTTAATAGTTTTGAAACTAAAATTCTGAGTATTTTAATCTTGTGCACTATGTCTGTAAGTTTGGCACCTGTCACTGGGTAAGTAAAAATCACAGCTGTTATGGTAAGGGTTTAATATTTATTTATTTAATTCTCCCACAACTCTATTATGTATATGTTATTTCCATTTTACAAACCTATGTCCCAAAGGTTAAAACTTATTAGTCTGTGTACTTACTACTGCTGAACTGTATATTTAAAAATACTTAAGGTGAAAAATATTATGTGCACTTTACTAAATGAAAACAAGAAAAAATACTTACTTGTCTAGGTCATACAATGTATGTGAAATTCGTACAATTACTTCTACTCCAGCTTCCGTAGCCAGTTTCTTAATAGCCGCATCTCGTTCCTTTCCGAAGGGCTCAGAATCATACTCAATTGAAAGCTTAGTAATGTTCCATTCCTAAGATAAGACAAAAGGGGCAAAGTATACACAAATTTTAAAAATAGTTTTTCTGTAATAATAATGAAGGCTGAAAAAAATGGAAAAGCTCATGATTTCCCTATCAAATAATTATACTTGCATCAAACTTTAAATATGCAGCAAGCAAATGTACAATTTATAAATTTAAAATATATAAATAAGAAATGTACATTCCCTAGATATCAAAAATTGTGCTAGACATAAGACAATCTAGCAATATGCTTAAAACCAGCTTCTTACACTAAATGTGTTTGTATAGTACTTTCCTTTTTCAAATAATTTATACTTACTTTATCTCATTTGTTCCTCAAAAGAACCCTTAGAGTTTGGCACTTTGATTGGTATCTCCATTTTGAAGATATGGGCGTTTTAAAAATTTAGGGACTTTCTCAAGTTCACAGAGCGCCAGAATGTCTGAATTTATGCCGGATGCCTCTAAGAATTGGTAGTTAATATGGTGTAAGCTTTGCTGTTTTATTTCTGATTACCAAAAAATGTTAACTAGAAAATAATGGAGATAGTAATTATAATAGCAGCTATTTATTGTCAGGTGCTGTATTAATAAGTTCTGCACAGCTCCTTATAGTGATTTGCAATGAGGAGGCTGTGACTTCAGGAAATTAAGTTACTTCCTAGGGTGGATAGTAAAGTTTTTTACATTCTAAAATCTACTCTGATATATCTTACAAAGAAAAAAAAATCACCTGTAATTCTACCATTATTTAACTGACTATATAGTAACACACTGTACTTCTTCAAACCTGTACAGATTAGACAAGGGCTGTCAGCAACAGTGGGCTCTGTTTGTTTTCTGTTTGGTAATTACTGTTATAAACCTTGCAGTGCAGGTCTTTACGCATAAGTCTTAAAGATCTAGGGGCATTTGTACTATTTTTTCTAGAAATAATTCCTTGATAAATATTTAATGGACACTATATGCACATTTAAATATTTGATACACACTGTCACATTTTCCACCGGTTACACTGTACCAGTTTACCCCCGCATCAGCAGTACACCGGTGTTTACTCCCCATACAGCTACAATCCACACATACAATAGTGGTACCACTGGTACCTACACACAGTATACAAAGAAAAATAATATCTCATTTAAAATATTTTCCTTTCTTGAAAGTCTTGGAGAATTCCTACCAAGCTGTCAATAACTACTCACTTTGAGGCATAGAATTTTGGAGTATAAATAATGTAATTATTTTTATTGTACACACTGTTGCATTTTTCAGATTTGTTAATACAATCATGTACTGCTTTTGAAATTTAAAAATAAGATTAAAACAAGAATAGGAAAATATTACATTTGTTTTACAGTAATGCAGTATAGAGTAGTAGTCAAAAAACACAGGATCTAAAGTCCTGAGTTCAAAGACTGGCTCAACTATTTGTGCAAATTGCTCAACTCTCATAATCTGTTTGCTTATCTAAAACATGAGCACAATATAAGTAAAATGTTTAGAGAGTACCTAGCACATAAGCCCGTGTAAGTGTTTGCTGCAGTAAAATAAAAAAAAATGTTACTGGCTTGTTGAAAGATTAAATGCGATAATGCCTATAAATTGTTTAGGACATAGTAAGAAGAAGACCTCAATGAATAATAGCTATTATTATTACTAGGCATTTGTATATTTCTTCTTCTGCAAGTTGAAGTTTATATTTGCTTGGTTTTCTATTGAAGTTAATTTTCCTCTTATGGATTTATAAGAGCTCCTTACATTATTTTTTATACTCACCCTACAACATGCTCATTGGTGTTAGAAATAGGGAAAAGGAGGGAGAGAAACATCGATCAGTTGCCTCTCGTACAGGCCCAACCAGGACCAAACCTGCAGCCTAGGTATGTGCCCTGACTAGGAACTGAACCCCAGACCTTTTTGGTTTACAGGACGATGCTCCAACCAACGGAGCCGCACTGGTCAGGGCAAGAGCTCCTTACATTTTAATGATAGCAACCTTTCTGTCATATATTTTACAAAAATTTTTTTTTCTAAATAGTAGTTTGCATTTTAATTCTATAATTTTTTTTTTACTTTTTTTATTGTTGCTCAGATACAGTTTTCTGCCGTTTCCCCCCACTTCTCCCCACCTCCCTCCCCTGTTCCCACCCCCCACCTTGTTATTGTCCATGTGTCCTTTATAATGCATTGTTCCTGTAAACGCTTCACCCTTTCCCCCCATTATCCCCTCTCTTCTCCCCTCTGGTCACTGTGAGCCTGTTCTCAACTTCAATGTCTTTGGCTGTACTTTGCTTGCTTGTTTGCTTTGTTGATAATTCTATAAATTTTTATTGACAAAAGCTATTTAGTTTCTAGAAAGTAAATGTTAGAGTCAATAACTCTCCCCCACCTTTATCCTTTTTTGATAAAGGAAGGGAACATAAATCAAGAGATCTAAGGCCAAAACAAAGACCACATTATTTGTAAAGTTGAATTGGACAAAAGATATTAGGTTTAAGGGCAGGTAAGCCTGTTAATATTTCACCCCCGAATTACACGGATTTGCCTGCCTAATGATAAGCAGCACCTTCCCCCCAGTGCGGGCTGCTCCTGTAACATTTATCACATGGAAGAAGAGCAGAGGATACGTGCTCTCTGCAGCTGAGGAGAAAAGGTCCGATCTGAGCTATACTACACCACCTTTGCCCTTTCCGCTAACTCAACAGTGAGATCATTCGCTTCTTCCCTGGGGATACAACAGTGAACATCTCTCCACAAGAAAAAAATGAAAAGTCAGGGAAGAGAAAATTCCCCAAACATTAAATGCATTCATTCATATGCCAAATACTTACTACTATAATTCTTATCACAGCCCAGATACAACCTTCCCTTTCTCTAACAGCAATACACATATCCTCAGGAGGAGGGTTTTTTTTTTAAATACAAAAATTAAACCAATAGTAAGCAGAAGAAAACACAAAGAATAAAGAGAGGAATGGAAATCAATGAAACAGACAGACAAATATAAGGAAAATAAATGAGCAGTAACTTATTGTCCCTTGGCTCCAAGCCCACCCTTACTTGCCCTGCTTACACACAACCTTCCCTCTCAGAAAGAAACTTCACGGAGGAATAGGGCCAGAAACGGTTCATAAGAACAGTCTGCTGGCTGGCAGAGAAACTTCACGTAGAGCACGAGGAAACCTAACTGGAGCTGACCTGTAGAAGTGGTCTACCGGGTGGCAGAGAACTTTACCAGGGGACGTGGGTCGGCTGGAGCTGATCTGTAAAAGGGGCCTACTGGGTGTCAGGGAAACCGGCCAGAGTGTGCACGTAGGCTGGGGCTTGTCCAGAAAACCTACTGCGGTAAGTGTTACTGGGCCTCCCACACGCTCATCTACTGGGTAAGGTGGCAGAAAAAAAAGCACAGGGATAACAAGAAGGAAAGCCTCTTCTCACCTGCTATAAACTTGCAGAGAACCACCAGCAACGAGTATTGACAAAGCCTGGTATCAAGCCAGCTGGAAAGGAGTAATGTTTACAGCACCTATCTTCACAAAGCAGGGCAAATAAGGGTGCGCTTGGACCAAGGGACAATAAGTTACTGCTCATTTATTTTCCTTATATTTGTCTATTTGTTTCATTGATCTCCACTCCTCTCTTTATTCTTTGTTTTTTCTTCTGCTTATTGTTGGTTTAATTTTTATATTTTTAACAAAATCTCCACCCAAGGATATGTGTATTGATTTTAGAAAAAGAGGAAGGGGGAGGGGGGAGAGAGAGAGAGAGAAACACCTATGTGAGAGAAAAACATCAGTGGGGTGCAACCCACACGTGCCATGATGGGGGAGTGAGCCTGCAACCTAGCTATGTGTCCTGACCAGGGATCAGACTCACACTCTCCTAGTGTACAGGACAATGCTCCAACCCATCAAGCCACCCGACCAGGTCTAATTTTTCTATTTTTTAAGGTGGAAGCGTCTTTGATTCCTTCTTTTCTAATACAGTATTGAAAGATATTTTCCTCTAAGCACGGCTATAGATTGAATCCCAAAATTTTGCTATATTGCCTTTCCATTATGACTCAGTTATAAATATTTGCTGTTCTCTTGCTATTCATTTTAATTTAATTCTATTGAAGTCAGAGAATATGTTCTACAAGATTTCAGTCTTCAGAAATTTATTGATACCTGTTTTATGGCTTAGTGTGTGGTCACCTGTTTTATGGCTTAGTGTGTGGTCTATCTTAGTGAATGTTTCATATGCACTAGAAAAGAATGTATACTCTATAGTTCTTAGGCAGTGTTCTATAAATATCAGTTATATCACACTGGTTGATAGTATTTTTCAAATCATCTGTATCTTCATTGATTTTTGTATATTCTATCAATAACTGTGAGGTATAAAAATCACTAACTATGATTGTGAATTTATGTTTCTCCCCAGAATTTTATTAGTTTGAGATTCCAGTTTTTATGCTGTTTGTAGATAATATACATTTACGATGGTTTTATCTTTTTGAAGTGAGACTTCACTCCCTATCTCTGCTAATTTTGTCTTAAATTCTACTTTCCTATGCCTACTGTTTGCAAATACATTTTTTTCTGTCTTTTATTTCAAACTATCTGTTTCTTCATATTTTTTAAGTGTTTCCTCTAATCAGCATATAGTTGGTTCTTGTGTATTCTTCATCCAGTCAAACTGTGCCTTTTAAATAAAGAGCTTCAAGTAGACCATTTACATTTAATATAACTACTGATACAGTGGGCTTAAATTTACCATCTTGGTTAAGTTTTATTTTTGACTATCTCTTTTGTGTTCCCTACCTGACTTCATTTGAATAAGTCAAGTATTGTTAGTATTTCACTTTAAACTTCTCTGTTAACTTTTTAGAAATAGATCCTTATATTTAGATCACAATATGCATTCTTATCACAGTCTACCTTCAAATCATATATTGCTAATGAATAATACAAGGATATACATACATACACACACACATACACATACAGACTATATAAACATA